CAATACTCCAAAGTACCCCTAGGGGTACAAGAACCCCCATTTGAGAAACCCTGATCTAGTATACCAATCACCTGCTGCCTTTTTATCTGCTTTCGAATATATCTAATATAATAATATATCATACATGAGTGTTTAGTTGACTGGTGCTTTCTGTGTTTCAGTTCATCACAAATCTGATCAACGTCAACATGACCTCAGTGTGCCAGGTAAGTTTGTGTCCGTCTTGAACAAAACACTTTTGCTCTTCAGGGAGGATGTATTTCAAATCCCTTCAGCCCAGTGATTTGCAAACTACACATTTGCCTTGCCTCTAATATTAGTTTAAAGTTGATTTGTGGGCATTACTTTCCTCTTCACTTTCCCCCCTTTTGTTCTTCTCCTCCTCTTCTTTTTCTTTCTCCTCTTCTTCTGCTGTTTCTACCATGGTACCTGCAGTGTCTCAGTTGTTCCCAAAGCAACGGTGGACTACACCAACGCTGTCTGTACTCGCCACCCACGCAACTCTCTCTCTGTTGGTCTCTGCCTGTCTCTCTCTCTTTACTTGTCGTCCTTTTTTAAAACAAAACTCCCCCCCCCACCCCCCCAAGTTGTCCCCTTGCTTCTCTTTTTTATGGCTTTTGTCATTGTTTTTGTGTGACAGTTGTGGTGTTGTTCGTTTTTTAGATGACCCGTCTGGTGCTGCCCAGAATGGTTGAGAGGTGAGTTAAATGATAGGCTTCCATGTTTTGCGACGTGACTGCAGTCAAATATCAGTGTTGTGAAAGAGGGATTGTGGCACAGAGCTGCACAAAGAATCTCAAGATTAAACACAAACCTTTTTTTTGTTTTCCAAGAGCAGTTATTGGGAGATTACACTTTATAAAGGTGAATTTTTTATTGGGAAGGGGGACAAGAAATCCTCACCAAGCCTTTTCAATCACTGCATCTCTTTTGCTCTCCTCCTTTGTTCGCAATGCTGACAAGCTTTCAATTCACACAAAGTGCTCTTCCCACCAGATTGGCTGCTTTGTTCCCATGTGACTCCTGCTGGCCAATAGCAGCGCAGGCACATTTGGTGCCTTGTGAGGCTGGAGGGTCGCTCCACTACATCACTGCAGCAACAGGCTACCATGGCAACATACACGGCCACTACCACACTGTTTTTGTGTGTGTGTGGAACATCGCTTTGTGTGTTTTTTTGTCAGTGTGCTGAATGTGTATAGACACAGGGTTCCCACTGGCCTGGAAAATCATTGAATGAAGAAAAAATAAGCACTTTAAAAACATTTGCAAAGATACATTTATTGCACTGTTCGGGGTTCAGTGCTTCAAATCTTGAGGAAAGCCATGTGTTATGGCAGCACCGTTTTTAAGAAATTGAGGATTTCAGCAGACTTTCTTGGTTTAAACAATAAAGCTTCTGAGATGTGACATTGGTCAAAATGACACATCATCAAAATGTTAGTTTTGAGTCCTGCAATTCAATAATTTAATTAAACTCTAAAATATCATATATAATATACAAATATCGCAGCCCTAAATGTTCTCTTAGCATCACAGGCAACAAAGCAATGCTCTTTTCCTAAATCTACCTTATGTTTTTTTTCTCAGGTCCAAAGGTGTTATCCTCAACATCTCCTCTGCCAGTGGCATGTACCCCCTCCCTCTGCTTACAGTCTATTCTTCCACAAAGGTATGTGCGACATCTGTCACAAACCAGCAAGAATTCTCTCTGAAACTGAATTGTTTCATAATATTTGTCAGTATCTGCTTCTTTCATCAGGCCTACCCAGCTTTTTTGGAGGTTGTGATAACAGAGCAACATAAGACCGATGTGTTAAAATTGACGATCTTTCATCCTTTTCTGTGTGCAGGCCTTTGTGGATTTCTTCTCTCGTGGCCTTCAGGAGGAGTACAGGCGCCAGGGCATCATCATTCAGGTGAGTTTGGGGCTTGTCTGATGGGATTAATCCCTCTCCTCCACACTGCATAGGATTTTCTTTGCCCAAGGATGTGTTCTCAGCTGTGAGAACACTCAAGGTTTTTTAGCTGGTTTTTTTTTTTTTTTTAGCCAGACAGATGCCCAGAAGAGAAAGCTGTTTAGCATCATTTCCCTAACTTTCCCCTAACTTTGACAGGCGGTAGCACAAACCACTGTAGTTGGTAGAAATCAGATATAACGTCGTTATAAGCACATTCATAAATACAATTATTACTCAACCACTTATATACTTTATAACTTATTATAGCTATATATAACCATGGTAGATGATGAGTTTTAGAAATGTTTTATCCTGTGTTTTCTTGTTCGTTTAATGAGGTTGAATTTGTCACAACGCTTGTTAAAAAAATATGTTCAACTGATATAAAATTATTAAATGTGTATTTTTAAAAAGTGAATGGTAGCGACTCAGATAACATCCTCAAACGGAGGGGAAAAGTGCTGCAGATGGCTGACTGCGATTAAAAAAAATAGTAAAGTTGCGCTCCTTTGGGTCCAGCACTGGCGATGGAGGTAAAACATGGCTGAATGAATTTTTTTGAGCAAAAAAGCCGTGTTCCTCTGACATTAATCATTATAATTCTACCACTCACAGCCACCTCCCTCCGCTGACCCTCAGATTCTGTCATCAAAACCATTCAGAGCTGCACCTTTGATGCAGCTGCACTTTCCACCCGAACTCCCTCGTTCAACTGGTGTGTGTGGTTGTCGTTGTGTGTGATTAGTGGTTTGTGAAAACAAAGGGGGATGGGTTTGTTGAAGAGACCAATATGCTTGCACGTCAGCGTGCGTACGCTGCTTTCGAAGCTGCTGTTCACTTGTACTGAATGTGTGGCTGTTATAAATAACTCTGCACATTATCACGGCAGCGCTGACTCTTTTTAAGGTGAGATTAATAAAGCTTTAAAAGCCACTTTTTCAGAATTCAGTGCACACAATTTGCCCGAGCGCGGGGATGGCGATGTTTTGTTGTTTTTTATTCACACTTTTGTTGCCGAGGAGACAAAAAGAATCTACAAAGATAAGCTCCTGTGTTTGAGTGCAATCTTGCGTCACTGCTGGAGGTGATTATTCCTCAATATTCCAGGCTGGAAATAACGGGGACAGTTAAGTTTATCAAACCCGCCAATCGATGCAGCACAAACAGGACGTCATAGTTTTCTTACATGTAACATACTGAATTTCTAAAAAAGCATCAAATAAATTACAAAAATAAAAATACAAAATTTGGAAAAAGACCACTTTTTATTCTTGTATAACTGACCCTTCATTAAGCGCCCGCCCTTTTTGCTCTGTGCTCCCAATCACAGTTGGCAGCAAGCTTTGGGCCGACTTCCCTCGTTACTAATAAGCTACTTTAATATATTTGTCGGTTTAAAAATAACGTTAATTACTAAGTGTTCATTCACTCTAACTCTCAAAACTTCACTATAAAAATTACAGAAATGTTTGTAAAGTCACTTGAATGGAGTTCCCTGTTTAACTTCGGGGTTAATAAAGATTATCTTAAATCCACTCTTTCCTTAGAACCAGAATTCAACAGCGCCTTGGGAAATATATTGACCGTGACTCAGTTTTTTGTCCGATATGAAGTTTACCGGCGGGTTGTAAAATGGCCGGCTCGATCCATCAGCGCCGTAACATCGGGCTAATCCTGCTACATGACAATTTTTTTTGGACTGCGGAGCTTTCGGCTTCTCCCACCTCGCAGACAACAGCAGGCTTTGTTGTTGGCACGCGCTCGCAGGAGGCCCAGCTGGTTCCCGAGGGCCCCCGGGGCCACGGGAGGTTAAGGGGGACTGGACGGGCAGAAAAGACGGAGGGGGGGGGAAACAACCTTTTGCCTCCGCGGGGCCCGGAGGTCTGAGAGATATACCGGAGCCTGCTGGGCATGCGAGAGGCGGCGGATTGAAACGACTGCAGCAGCGTGTTGAGAGAAAGAGGGCTGTTGTGTGTGAGGGAGGATGCAGAGAGGAAAGGAGGAGGATGTGCACGCACATCGGTTTAACCCCTTCAGCACTACACGGTCCCAGATGTGCATTTCTGGTTAAGACAACACAAATGGTGGAAGGTTAACAGCGTTACTTTTTGTGTCAGTCGCTCCAGGACTTTGGTGAGGTTTTTGGGGGGATTGTAAGCATCGAAAATGTTTGATGTCAATAAAAAAATTACAGTTTTTTAGGGGTTTTTGTCATAAATAAAATATTATCCTATTATAATATTCAAAAATAAGCATCACCAGTTCAAAAAAAATAACCGCCTAGACAGGTCGATATATTGATCCAATTGCTCAACCCTGGGTGTTCCTGATAGGTTACCGTATCCACCAGCCGTAATCAGCACAACCTACAATAAAAATAATCACCAGAACTGATCAACCTGCAGAACAAAATGTCCGACTGCTGGCCTGATATTACAGTTCGTTATCAACACTGAGCAGATTTTAATGTGTTCTGCAGGATCAACAGGATCACGTTTCAGTCTCCTCTGCCTGATTTACTTGTCCACTGGGGAAATTATGCCAAAACAGAAAACGGCTGTTGTTATTTTAATCTGATGTTGGTTTGGACCAGAAGTTCATGAACATTTTCCAGTCAGACGACACAAGACGGGCACACCTGGACTACAACCCTTTATTTGATTATTTACAAAACAAGTTGAATTAAATTCGATTTGTGCAAAGGACAACACAGGAGAGGAATGGTCGTCACTGTGTCGAGCTGTGAACTTTAAAACAGCCGTTGTGATGAGATTGAGCCTTTGAGAACAATCAGAAGAGGATTTCCTGCTATTAGTCGGTGCTTCAAGTGCACAAATTAAGGACTAATTAGCTCCTGATTAAGTGAAATTAACCTCTTTTACGGTTGATGGGGAACCAATGGACCACCCTACTGGGTGATAATGGTGGATCTCAGCTTGGTAATCGGTCGTCAGGCTGTCAGGACACTGCGGCGTGTCGGCAAGAAACATGTTAAACTACCATTTTAAACTATTTATCTGCCGGAGTTTGATGTATTTTTAACCTTCAGAAGTGTCTTTTATCAAGCGAGACGCGGCGGCCGTTACAAATATAATTACCAATTATACAATAGATATAAATGTGCAGAATATATATGTTATATATGTTAGAATATATAACAATCAATATATGGACTCCAGATTACTGTAATAAACATTATATATATATATATATATATATATATATATATATATATATATATATATATATATATATATATATATATATATATATATATATATATATATATATAACATTATTTTTACACATAAATACAAAACTGTCTGCCTCCACAGGATGAATTCAGCTGGCAGATATCAATAAGGTGCTGATGATTGATTAATATATTGTTCAACAGGTGCAGGAAACAACATTCCAGCACACACCACACGCAGCACACCACACACACACACACACACACACACACACACACACACACGTACACACTGACCTAAATATCAGCTTTTTAATCAGGACTGGGACCACCATTTCCCCCCTTCTTCACAACAGTCAGTCACCTCATCCCAAAAATACAAATACAACCACCGTCACACCGACAACGGGTTCAACCACACAACACACACAACACACAGCAGCGATTAGTAGGTGTCCATTAATCAGAGAGCTTACTCTGACTGTCCAGGAGTTTCGTGTAGAGCAGAATTAAACGGCATTGTGTAACCTAGATGGGGGTCTTAAGAACTCTGTGTGGTGGTTGTGTGTGTGTGTGGTGTGTGTGTGTGTGTGTGTGGGTGTGTGTGTCATATATAAAGTGATACACACAGATTTTACTGGGATTGTCTCTAGCTGTGAGTTAAGCCCCTGAGTCTTGAACTTGGCAGCGGCTTCCAACTGGTCAGAAATCAACACACTAATACCGGGACGACTGTACACTGGGGAGCCGCCTCCTCCTCCTCCTCCTCTCCCCCTTCCTCCTGAGGTTCTTAATATTTTTCCTAATTCTTTCTTCTTTTAAAATCAAACCACAACATTATTTTACAGATGTGGATGTTTCAATTCGTCTTCGGGCCGCAATGTGTCGGAGGCTT